CAAACGTAGCCAGGAAGAGAGAAGCGATGTTTAGGTTGCAGGTGTTTCGCCTAGCATCAAAATAGAGATTTTGTCCTTTGTGACGAATGCGGCTAGCTCCGCCTGCTTGCTCCTGCATACCATACTGTTGTAGTTTCAAAAGACGACCGTGAAGCGAGCTGGAGCTGCTGTAAGAGAATTTTTGTTAGAGGCTGTGCCAGCCTTCACGGGGCGGAGGTGGAGGAGGTGGTGCCGGCCGTTCCCCCGACCGCCGAGCGAGGCTGACCCGCGTGCTCCCTCGCGTGATGGAGCAGCCGTCCCATGACTGCAGCGTCAGCCTCGGCTATTCGCTCGGGGGGTGACCGACGATGGTGCGGGTTATTGCCGGAGAGTCTGGAAGTGATCAGCGGCGTTTAAAGCGAGATCCCCCGCGGCCTGGATTATGAACAGGATCTGGTCATTGGTGTTATGGGATGGAAGAAAACCCGTCCCCCGCACACACACACCCCGCGGCTCAGCGGACGGTTGTCCCGTGGGTTTAGGGAAGGGCGGGAAGGGGCTGCGGCTGGAGCCGCTACTGGGGCGGCGACGTCGTCGACAACCACAGCGCGTGCGTACGTGCGCGGCTGGCGGCGTGCGCTGCGGCTGCGGCGATGGGCTATGGCGGCGCGGCGCAGCTCTCTCCCGTGAGGGCGAGCGCTTCGACGCCATCTCGGCGCTTGAGGCGCGGCGGCGCCCGGTCCTTTTGGCGGCGACCCTCTCGCCGCTCTGCGCCTCATTTCCTAGGAAACCACGGCGCTGGTGCTCGGGGCGCTGGTGCTCGGGGCGACCTCTGTACAAGCGCCGTGATGGTCCGCGCTGCAATTAGCGCAGCGCCGCGACTCCACGGGCGGGTTGTCCCCGAGGGGGCGGCGCCGCACTTCCCACAGCGCGGGTGGCGTGCGCTCCACATGACCGAAATCAAGAGAGTTCCTGCACTGCACTGCACTGGTCCTAACGGCGGCCGATACAGAGACCCTAAGCCTGCGGAGCTCTGGTAGGGCGAGGTTCTCTCGACGCCGTGGTTCATCCGGCAGCGTCACTAGGGCGAGCTGTATTGGCCGTCCTCTGCTGCCGGGTTTGCGGCTCGTCAGCCGCTCCCCCTGGAAATTAAGCGGAGACCGCCCAAGGGCAGTGATTAGAGAAGGTTCGTCGGTTGCAAGCGGGACGCCGCGGATGATTACCCGCAGCTCCCGCGCATTCCCGATGGAATACGTGTGGTATTCCATCGTGCGTTCTCGTAGCAGGAGACGGAGGCCATGTAGTCCTCCACCGTTGACGTGCGGAAGCGCACCGCTTCGGCAACGACGGGGTCGCCGCACACGCCCCGCAACGCCTCCAAGAGAGAGAACACGTCTCCGCTTCTGTACACGAGACTGGGGGGGAGGGCGTCGTTGGTGGCGGACGAGCGTGAACCCGTCGTCGCCGGCATCGTCCCCTTGCGCTGCGCCGGCGTTGGCATCCTTGCGGCGGAGGCGGTGGCAGTAGCGGAGGGTCCTCTCCCGTCATTGTACCTGCGGGCAGAAGTAGCGCACAGGTTCGAGCAAATACGCTCCGCCGAGGGGGTAGCCACGCTCATCCTCTTGCCCACGGCTGTCGCTTTCACCTTCCGGTGGAGTAGAGAGCGGCCGCCGCCCGGAGAAGCTGCGCTCGACATCCTTCCTGTATTTTACGGCCCGAGGGCCTCGCCTCCTCGCAGTCCTAAAAAGGTCTATTTTTCCCACGGCGGCCGGAGATCTTCATAGGTACATCCGTCCTCTGCGGTGGTCAGGTCTCGAGTCCTCAATCACTCGAAGGGCGATCAGTCAGCTGATCCGCTATTTAATAGGTAGCGAGACGTCACGACGAACCCTCCCGCATTTTCCGTCGCGCAGCAACTAACTGATAGCGCTGTTTCGGGAGAAGGTTATTCAGCTCGCCTGTGCTCCGGTGATCTTCTCTGCTTTTGCTGACGCTGTGTGGGTGTTGCGGGATTTTCGAGCTTGTCTCAAACGCTTATATATATATATATATATATATATATATATATATCGGTTTTCTCCGTATTTACCTGATGTTCTTCAACTTCAATAGGTTTCCAACTATTCGTAGGTTTTCGGAAATGTATTTTTTAAAATACGTCAATACGGATGCAAATTAAGTGAAATCATCCGCCCGGCGATTCCCTTTTCGCATTCAAGGTAACCTACATAGATCTACGAGTATTTGGGTGGCGTTGGTTTAATTTCCGGCGTACTCACTAAGAAAGCAGCGCTAAAATACGTTTTTGGACATTTCTTAAAATTTTCTGGCCGGATCCGATTACATTTTATCAATTCCCCATCAGGAGACCGAGACGCGTCGAGTGAGAAATCATACGTTTCTATTGGTGCACGGGAAGATTCTAATCGTGATTGTTAGATTCACACTCATGCACACTCACAATTTATTGAAATACTGTATAGGGATTATTTTTCTCATAATACAGAACAAAGTAAATGTTTTATAATGTAAATTTGAAAATCCTCGAAATGAAATGTCTAAATATATGTGGCACGCCTATATGCTTATAGTTGGTTGCTATGCTACGCGTATTCCTTTGATTTTAACGTTCTCGATGCATCAATTTCGTCGTATCACACCCGTTTGACACTAGTATGTCACGGTATACTAAACAGTTTTGAATTATTTTCTGCGTTCTTACATATCTCAAGAAAGGCAATTCCGAGACAAAAAATAATAAAACTGATATTTTCACCTTTGAGTAATAAATACCATTTAGTACCATTAGAAACAATTCTGTAGGCTTAAGACTTCTTTCCGTTCATGCGAATCTTGCTCAAACGATGTTTTCGTATTGAATATTTTACCGAACCAACACCTTAAGTTTAATATCAAATGGTGTATAATTTACAATAATACGCACAGGGAACATTGATCGTATGTTGCGGTGTGGTAGCCGTTCCGTAAATTTTCTCTCCTAGCAATGGGTTCTATTTAGTTAGTTAATTGTAAGTAGTGTAATTGTACACGTAAGCTTCCGCGACTCGAATCCATAAATTCTCGGCTAGCCGAGAATTTAAGTAGTTTAATTGTTTAATCGTGACTACGAATTAGATCGTGAATAAATCTACTGTTTTTACAAACCACTCTCGTGTCTGTGTTCTGATTACACTCGTATGACGCCACAATATACGTTTTCAAAAGATTTAATAATTATGCATACAGACGATATTCATAATGAAAAAAGTTGAACAAACTTTGAATGAATGAACAAACTTTCATTGGTAAGGAAATAAAATATCTCAAATAAAATGGACTTTTACAATAAGAAAAGCATTGAGTGTGCTGGGAATGACCTGCTCTCACCGAATGCCATCTGACCTTGAGGAAACAACCCTCCAGAACACCAATCTCTGCGCCCGCGCGCTCCGCTTGCGAGGGCTGTCCAAGTCCAGGCAAATTTGGAAATTTTTAAAGTAATTGGCAGTGTGTATCGGCAGCCAAAATTTACATCGTGGTATCAAAAGGGCACATAAATTCGATAATAAAAAAATATGAGGGCATGTTTCGACATGTCTCATAGCGGCATTCCTTTGTAAGCGAGACGTCACAAAGATGGGCACCATCACCAAGGGTTCAAATCAGGTGGCATTGATAGTAACGATAAGGGTCGAACCATAAAAAAATTAATAGAATGTCCTAGATTATTTCAATCTATAGATTACGGCGTGAGGAACGTTTCTTTGAGACCTTTGGCCTCAAAATTGGTGCTTTTAAGGCCCTAAAACTCTCATTTTAAACGTTATTTAACAGTGTAGCTGACTGAGTGCTGAGGGTTACATTTGACATGAATATTTAGATGCGTTTTTTAAACAAATCTTTCAGATTTTTGGAGTCAAAGTGCAATTTGTCACGTCTCCGCGAAAAATTCCCTTTTTTTAGAGACCTCATTTATAAAGTTCGGTTGCGTAGGAGAGCCGAAAAAGGTATGTATACTTCGGAAATATATAGAAGATTAGCTCAAAGATTATAAACAAGGTAAATATTTTTTATAAAACGATGTAAACAAAATTAAAATAAGTTTAATATTTAATGAATACTTTATAGTTTTAAATTAAAAAGTCATAATTTCTTATTAAAATCGTAGAATTAGAAGCTGCAAAACGCCGAAGGATAAAGTATTATATTTTTCATTCTATAATACAATGTCAACAGATAGAATCAAACGGTATCGTGAGTTTTTATTTCAACAAATTAAACTTTTGCTTATATGCAAACATTGTCTAGGACTGAAGAAAGTCGACAGAATTTCAGAAAATATGTTGCAAGCCTCTTCTACTTTTTTTATTAGATTTATTTCTTGTCTCAAGTACTTATTAACCGCGCCGTCTCCAGGTGCATGTAAGCGATGCCTGCCGTATTAGAAAGTGATTATTTTTTCGATAAATTTCGGACGTTTCTACGGACGGAATTTGTTCCTTGAAGATAGATTTTGAAATAAGATCATGTACAATTTTTCGAAAATTTGAGTATTTTCCGCGAAATTTAGGCAAGTTTTAATTTTGTCACATTTTTTTATTGAAAAGTCTCTATTGTTTTTGATGAAATGTTAGTGGATAGTCTGAAGGACGTTTAATATAATGATGTTGGTTAAATACCCTGATTTTTTGAAAATTGAAAAAAATTCGAAATCTTTTCGGCGTTTTCCTTTCCGAACATTTGAGTTATTTACGCATACTTTTGAGTGAAAATACGGGCATGAAAGTACGTGCTGTTTTAGTACCATTAGTTGCTTACGAGTTTCGTGAAAAGTGAAAATTAATAGTTACTGAAACTTTTTTGGAGGGGAGGGAATTTTCCTCATAGCTCCCCCCCTGCAAAAGTAAAAACTAATGAATATAGGCATCAGTACCTGTAAACATAACTATTTTACATGTATGTGTATATATATATATATATATATATATATATATATATATATATATATATATATATATATATATATATATATCCCATACATATTGTACTTTCTCCCCCTTCAGAAACATTTTTTCAGTTTAGGGGTTGTGCCCTACTTTCGTTTTAATAGTATTTGTGAACTGGTTTTACAATCAGTTGTATAATTTAATATTCTCTTATTCTTGTGATTGAAGCTTTGATTGCATAAGAAAAATTGACAAATTTGTTCTACCTTCAGCATGCTGAACATATTGGTTTCTATGGCTTATACGGTTCCAGAGTAGTTTTGCAATTTATAATTTGATTTACCGCCCCCCCCCCCCTCCTGAATTGGTTGCAATTCATCATCTCAAACTTGGTTATCCAAGATTTTACTATATTCTTTCATTCTCCTTTTCTCTTAATTTTTTATATACAAATGTTAATTAAATCTGTTGCCATTATTAAGACTTTCTAGAGGTGTTTTTAATCACCTCTTCTTTAACTCTGAGGAATGGGACTTACGCTCACAAAGCTGCAATATAGTAACAAGTGTGTGGCTGATGAATTGGGAATAGGTTTCAATTTAACTGTTGCTAATCAAGAGTGGAGAGGTTTCTGTTTCCCCATGAGAAGCAGCAAAGAAAAAGGTGTGGTTAGGGAGTGGGATGAGAGTGGAGGTGCAGTTGCACTGGCAGAAAGCCTGTCAGTGGCGCAACAGTTTTGAGGCAGTTGCTGCTAGGGAACTGAGAACAGGAGTCCAAGAAATTCTTTTCAACCACACTTTAGTGTGCTATTTTGCCTTTACTCTTGTGAATGAAAATATCCATGCATATTATTAAATAGAAAATGTAATTGTTATTTGTAATTATCTCGGCATATCTTACAGAAAGAGATTATATTCTGCTACGCCACTGGAGAGACTACAAAGACAACACATATTTGTACTTCCATAGTGTCTTAATATTGCATGGGAGTAACATTTCCAGTACATATAACAGGTAATTCAAGTCAGTTAAGGCAAAACACTATCCATAGACCAGTTGCTACACTAGTGCCACATGGCTGTACAGGGAAGATTGCAGCTTGCATAGTATGTTACAGACTGGGCAGCCGCAATGCGGCGCCACTGGTGTTGCCAGCCCACAATACAAAAGACACTGATTCCCTTAGCTATGTTATCGGTAAGGCAGACTTTCCATGTCAGTATACAAAAATAGTTTGATCCTGTGCAGCCATAAAGTTCATGCTAATGGCTGTTCAAATGTTTGAAAGCAACTGCTGACCTTGGAAACAAACAAGAAGGTACATTTTTTTTTAGTCTGGAGAAATATGTTCTGATATTTTGAAGCACAGTAGAACCTTAATTATCTGGTCTAAAAATTTAAATGCACGCAAGCAAAAAGTTCAGAAATAACAGGTTACAAATTCCTCGGTGCATTAAATTTCACATTTAAAAAGCACCCCTCCCCCCACAACACACAATTTTAAAAGAATGCTATTAATTTACAATGTTAATTGTTTAGAAATTGCGAGAAAATTACCTATCGCACAGGTAAAGTGTGGGGGCTGGAGACACGGATAACAAAGTTCTACTGAGTTCCCTTGTCACCTGCACCCATCACCTCAGGAGTTGCAGTAAGGGTTAAAAGAGGTTGGAGGAAGAAAGACTGCTGAGGAACAGGCAGCCCGGCTCTCCACAGCCAGCCCAGCCGAAGCAGCAGAAACAGCCAAAGTAGGTCACTTGGTCCCTTTTTATGTTATTGATGGACTCCCTACTATAGTAAATTATGCAGAGGGTAAAAAAAAAAATTTTGATTGACACTGAGAAAACATGCACACAAAAATGTACAATGTTAAATAGTGCTTTGTATTTAAAAGATAATAGAATTACATTTTTTTTAAAAATTCCTTTACATTTACAAAATAACTAGGCTTCGTAAAAACTTATGGATGAAGCAACTGCTAAGGTGATGCGAGCTTAGAAACTGTATCTTCACTGACCCAACAAATATGAACTTGGATAAACAAGGACTTTTTGAGACTCCAATGTTTTCTTGGGGCTTGTTAAAATATTAAATATTGAATTGACACATTGTCCAAGTTATGTGTACTTTATACTATACATATAAATCTGCAACATGGCTATAGACGTAAATTCTATTTTCTTGATTATCTTATTGCTACTTTTGGAGAAAACTTTACTCATGCAAATTATGAGTTCTGAAAATGTTATTTTCATATTACCAATTGCTAACATGAAAAAGTATTTCATAAATTACCACATCACTAAAGAGCATGAATATCACACAAAAACAAAAACTGCAAAAAGAAATTGGATCAATATTTGTTCCCTTACACAACTACTGCAAAGCTGGAAGGAAATAAGTCAAATTAACCTACCTCCTCAAATTATTTCAATATGATTGGAATTCATGAGTGGCAACCCATGTGGGAGTAAATGAAACAGAAGTGGGCAATTGCTCTATATGTATAATATAAGAACACTCCGTCCACATGTCAGAATGAGACTCAAGTCCTCATGTCACTCACCATAAATTCTTAGGATCAGTAGAATTTCCATTCAGCAACAGCAATGACGTGCAATTAGTTCTGTCTGCCATGCAAACATTCTGAACTCTAATTTATTTGTTCTAAATGACAAAGATTTAAGATGTAAAGATTATTAAATGCTGAAATATGAGTTGGAAAATTTTTATAACTGCACGAGGGTAATTTCTTTTTTCTTCTTTCTTTTCTTCAAAAACACGCCAAAATCTTGCAAACAAAACTTTTAAAATAAAGTGAAGACATGAATCTAACACAAATAGAAAAACAAGAAATAATTCCACAAAAAGAAAACATTTTCATTCAATTAAATCTATGATCAAGGACAATCTGTTGTATACTATAAACCTTTCCCTCCATGATGTTGCAAATATAAACAAATTTGCAACTTAATTGCAAGTTAATAAGACATCCCCTTACATCACAAAAACAAAAAGAATGTGCACAAGATATTTGGAAGCATATACACAATGACCCTTCATAGAACGTCATTAACACACTTTCCTGAGCATAGATTGAATATCTTATACATATAAATATATATCCCCCCCCCCTCGTACATTATTAATGTAATTTGAATTCCCTGCAACAAAACCACACAAAGAAAAACCAAAATGTTGCCACAACTGTGAAGCAGTTTTCTTTGAAATTCATCCTTCCCAAATTTCAGTAAAAATATGCAATTAAAAGTATGTTAATGAAGTTGATAAAGGCCAGCCTTGGGTGCAGCACTATCCAAAGACCATCTGCCCTCTTTTTATTCTTCTGTAATATATGCACACATTTGTACTGGTTTAAGTAGATCACTGCCTTCCCCAGTCAAAGAGTTAGAAATACTATATATACATACAACTTCCCCAGTGAAAATTGATACTTTCACAAATTTATATGAATATTGGCCACATTAAATGCTCAATACAAAATTCAACATATTCTTACATTCACAAACAGAGATTCACTCAATACAACATGATACAAAAAGAAATGGTGTTCCTATTTCCATCTACACTAAAACATCCCTATTCAACTAAAAGAGAACTTCCATCTGCAACATTTAGCTTTGTTTCTTGCACTCGCACATACACACACTTCACACACCATTGTTACTACACAGTAGTAGAGACAAAATAACCCTCTTAATGCAATTTTGATCTGTGTTGGCGCATCGGGGCATTCGAGCTCTGGAGTCTCATTCTGTAAGGACCTTGATTCCTTTCTAAAAGTGATTTATTAAGAAACATGGCACATTCTACAATGTCTGTGTTATTCAGCTCTACCTAAAATACATTCTACTTGTGTAAAGAACAGGGCTGATGTGATCATAATTTTGTTCCTCCTTTCAGGCTCTGGAGAACAATAACACTTTTCTATAAAGACTTAAGACAATCGTGAAATGTGCTTGTTTCATACGCACAGTAATAATAACATTTCTAAAATGTATCTCTTAAAACATAATTCTTTTTCTTATTATAAGGATTGCAATAAAATATATCAATTCCCAAATTTTACATATGGAAAGAAAAGAAAAGAAAAGAAAAAATCTCGTAAATGCCTCTTCGTCCCGCACTGCCCACAGACCCAATCCTCAACTACAAGTTCTAGTTATATAAAAGAATAGCTTTTCACACATGGTACCAGTGCTGCACTATTCACAGAACAGAGGGGGAATACAATAAACTATAACCTACACACTTTGCAAACTCTGACAATACTTTTGGTGTATGGTATCATAATAGTACACGAGCGATACCTCGTTGCGTTTGCACTAGTGCTCTCCCATCAGTCAACAGAAACTTGGAGAAAAATACAAAATGAGCCCCAACGAAAAGATGGAAGTGCACTAGGGACAATATAAAGAAAATGTAAAAAGTCATTAAAATCCTTAAATTTTCATCATGTATAAGGTGAGTGTCAAGAGTACGATAAAAACTGTAATGTCTGTGATGAAAATAATTTGTATGTTACTGTCTCCTGCAGTAAACCTATCAAAATATTCAAAGACTACCTATGCCTCCTGGGAACAGGTCATTTCGCACATCAACACAACAGACAGACAGACAGAACCGTGTGGCAAGGACAACTTCGTAATGTTAAGTTTGTTCTAATTGAACATGGTAAAATACATTCACCGTGAACACAACTCCAAGAAAAAACTGTTGCTTCCGCTTCTCAGCCTCGAGACAGCAGAAAAATGACAAAGACATCCAATAGGTACTGTTATGTATGAAATTCTACAACGGGTTTCACTGTGTCCAGGCAGCTCATCACCAAGCTCAGTGTTCACGACGAGCAATATGCGTTTATGCGCTCGCAGAGGTTCCCAAAACTTGTGTTGGACCAGGGTACATTTTGCCACCAAAAAACTGATTTTTGCCTTTTCTTTAGACAGAACAGTCAGCCAACTTATGAACTATTTATCAGCACATCTTCCTTTATATATTTTTATAAAAGAATGTTACTTTTCCAATCTCCAGGCCCCATCAAACACTGTTCCATTTTGTGGTCAGTATAAAATTCTGAACATTCATCCTGAGAACAGCCCCTGCCGCACCCAGAGAGCAGAGAACTGTTCCCTGGTCACTGTGAAGACAGAAGATATGCCTGTTGCTGCTCTGCCACCTGTCTGTGCCTCAAGCAGATTGTCCGTGCGTGCGTAGGAGAGATGAGCACAGCACTTAAGCCTTCTTCCCGGGCTTTTTGCGTCCCCCAGTGGTCGACACTCCCCGACGCTCCCGCTCTTTGGTCCGCGTCACTGGAGAGGTCTTGTTGGATGGTGGTGGCGCAGTGGCAGAAGTGGTCTTTGCACCTGAAAAATTCAACATTAGAATTATAAACACATTAAATGTTGCTCTTAAAGCCCTAAATTCAAGTTGACTATTCCCAACAGCCTGCTCATAAGAAAAACTTAATCCAAAAGAGCAACTGATCAGTTATGACATATAAGGAATCATTGATAAATTCCTGTCATTCATGTTATGTTTATTTTCTGAATGAAAATATTACAATTATTTATTAAAAGACACTATGAGCATCCAATTTATGCCGACAGTGTGACAAACAAACAAAAACATTTTACATTACTTACTGAAAAATATGAAGTAATTGCTATTTTAAAAACAGGTTCTGAACTGAATTCAGAATTGCTGATATTCAGACTTACTTCTGGATTTGGTAGCTCTTGTAGGCAAACTAGCATCTGTGGTTGGCTCTGCCTTCTCTGCTTTCCTTGAAGATTTTGGAGTGGTAGCTAATTTAGCCTTCTTCTCTGGAGGCGGTTTAGCTGCTGCTGTACTCTTACTGGCAGCAGTAGAAGCACCTGCAGCTGGGGCCTCTGCTCTCCTCTTGGTGGCCTCACGCTCACGGCCTCTCTCAGAGGTGCGTTCCTTCTTCGGGGACCCACCTTCTTTGTCACCTGCTGCCTTTCTCTTCTCTTTGGTGGCACCTGCAGCCTTTGATGCCTTCTCCTTCTTGGTTTTGCTCTTGGGAGGCTTGCTTACTTTCTTTTTCTCACCTCCATCTTCTTCTGATTCACCAGTGGCTGCTTCTCCCTGAGACTCCTCTGATGTTTCTGTCTCTCCTTCTTCTGACTTGCCTTCTTTATTGGCCTTTGCTGCTCCTTTCTTAGCCTTCTTAGATGCTTTAGGAGAACTGCGTTTCTTCTTCAACTGTGCTTCATCACGATATAAGGACAGGTCCACTACAACAGAAATGTCACTTTATTTAAAAAAACAATACATATGAAAGCAGATCATACAAACTGCATGATACTATAATTTTGGAACTGAATGTAAGATTCTGAAATTCATAAATTGTTAAATAATCAAGAAACAGATACAAAATAACAGATAAAAATTATATTGGTCATTGTCTACAAACATTTTCAGAAAATTTGCTAAAAAACAGCACACACTTTCTCAAAATCACAAGCAACTTTTTCTTTAATCCATTCATTTCGTTTGCTGTCTCCCAGACATCATAATGGAGCCTTACAGTCTTTTGACAACACAGAAACTGAGTTTCTGCGCTCTGCACTCAAGTGTCTGAAAATGGATTCCTTTGTGGAATGTATGTAACATATTTCTATTTATGGCTTATTCTGATGTGTATCATAATATTGTGTTGAAATGTAGTGATCACATTCCTAGTCCTCCCGTCATTTTTAAATAGTAGTACTGCAGAAGGAAGGCTCTTACAATGGCAGAAAAAAGTGAGACAAACTGGTTAAGACATTTGTAAATAATCCCCCTGCTCTAAAGATTCTAGAGGATATGAATTACAAATTTAAGTCTAGTTTGTCTCTTCAATTTGGTGTGGACAGAATGTGAGTTCCTTGATTAAAGGTATCTTAACACAGGCAGTGTTAACATCATCAGTGATGCAGTTACGCTATCACGTGGTGTCCAATAACAGGCTAAAGCACTGTTCATGTATAGTGCAGTTCAAGAAAATGTGTGGCAAGTCAAGAGTGTGCTTTGATAATAGCTGACATGGGGGTGGGGGTGGGGGCAAATGACCCTTAATTAATTTTTTTTAAAGAGGACATACTTTTATTTTGTAGTTATTAGCCCAAATTTACATTCTACAAATGCTTTCAGTAACCTCATAACCTTAAAGAAGCTGACACTTGTTTTGAACTGACACTTTTCTGGAACCAATGGCAACTGCTAGAGACAGGTTTCAATGTAATTTGTTTCAAATTTAAGATACAATGAAACTGAAAAATCCTTTACAAGGCATAATTTAAAGTTTTTCTGAAATCAGAACAAAATCTGTTGCGTTAATATAAATGCGTATGCTTCGGGTGATTTGAAAAATCAAACATTTGGATATTGTAAGTTAGAAAGTGTTTATAGAAACAGCACTTTTACCACATTAAGCGCTCCGTCATTTCTTTGAAGAAAATTTAATCTGCCAAAAATGTAGAAAATGAAGTGTGTGTTTCATCATACGTTCTCCTCACATTAAACAATCCATTTGTATTGATTCATTGGTCCATTGGCATAGACAGAGACATACACTGAGATAAATCAAAAACAAAATATTGTTTTAGAAAAACATCACCAGTTTTCTCTACTGATGTTAATGAAGGACAGTCATCAAGGTGGAAAAACTTGCAGACGGGACAGACAGAAAACAGATGGATGGTTTTTAAAACATACTTTTGCTTTATAATATAATTCTTGAAATTCAGTGTTTACATAAAAACATTGTACTAAATTTTTACTCAATTATAATATTTTTTATAGCTCCTATGCTAATGTAAATTCTATATACCATATTTACCCAAGTAAAAGATGAGATTTTTCTTGAATATTACATTTTTTTAAATGGTCTTATATTTTTACATCACCTTTCTATGTCAACAATAAGTTGCAAAGGTGATAAATATCACATACACCTTTAATACCAAATTGTACTAATGGACATATTCTTGGAATCTATCGTGAATTTGCTGGACAAATTTAGACCACCCGCTTTTTAATGGGGTGCTAACAGAGAATCGCAAAGTTACAGCATTGCAGAAAAAGATATGTAACGTGAAAATGAGTAACGATTGTTGCTGAGATTTTGTTAAATGAAGCACGATTCAAGAGGCCAAGTGGACTTCTGCATTTTGCAAGTGATGGAAATATAAGTAATCACATTCATAGAAATCTACATTGAACATAAAAAGAGACCTAAATAAAAAAATATTTTCTCAGCAAAACCCCCTCAAAACTTGAAACTGCTTCTCTCTCCCACATTACATTTGAAATGGAGATGTATAAGCTAGCTATTTTATATTAAGTGTGGGAAGTTATTTTTTTGCTTGGTCAAGATTGACATCTTTTTGCAGAGTCCAATAGGTTGAGGAGAAGAACCCTCAATGAAGATTGAGCAAAAAACAATAACTTCACTCATGAAAGATATTCATTTTTTCTATGTGCACATAGCAATGCTTATATTAGGAGTCATGATTTATTTCATCTCTACTCTTCTTGGTTTATTTGAAAGGAACCCACCTCTGTTAACGTTCATACAACAGAACGTTATGGTTTCATCGCATAAGATAAGGTTGTTACTTACAAGTTCCTACCGTGTATTTGGTCAGCCCTAGTTATAATTACTAAATTAAAATGAGTAAAAGCAATGCCGACTTTCTAAAAGAGTTGTTCAAATCTATGAATGCTGCAGTATCTAATTAATTATCCATCCTTCCTAAGGTATTTACAAAAATAACTTACCATTAGTTCAGAAATTGATTTACATTACGAGGTCTGATACAAGTTTCATAACATATGTATTAGAGGTTACCTACTATTTATGTATTAACAGTTAACTATACGTTAATAGTTATTGGGCAAAATTTAATAACAGTGTTATTAAAGTTGTTTTGCAATTAATGTGGGTTTCATTTTCTTACTTGTCTAATAACCTACCTACCATGTGCCTAAGTCGTTTTAACGTTATGACATCACCTTAAAAAAATACTCTCACATGGTGATATGTTTTTCAGACGTTTTAAGAAATGGCTAACTTCACGCACCCATTGCAGCAAGTAGAAGCTCACATTTTTATAGCATCATAGAAAAAGATACTTTGTTATTGCTTTTGACAAATATCAGGACAATAAAAATTGCCAAAATATATTGATCACCTATAAACACTTTCAATCTATTATTTTTATTACTGGTGCAAAAGAATTTTTTTTCTCTGCACTAGTTTATTGTAAATGGAAATTTGCCTCAGCAACTGTCTGGGAGATACTCACAGCCATCAGGATGTTCCTCAGTAATAGGGGGCTTCTCGCCAACCCCTTTCTCCACATCCAGTGCTCTCTTCAGAATATTTTGTGTGCGGTCTCGCTCCTCCTGCGGCAGTTGATACTTGTTCTTGTCCAACTTTTTCAGCTCTAGGTTTGTTAAGATACAATCAAATTCTGGAACAAGCAGGATAAATTATAGCAAATACAACACAGAAACCAATGACAAGTAGATTGGATAGATCAATTTCACTAATAAAAAGCAATGGATTGATCTGAGAAACCAAGAAGATAGTCAAAATACCTGTGACATCGTAGAAATCTGGTATGTAAACATTTGTGTCCTTGTTATCCTTTTTGTCTTGTGACAACCATCGGATGCGGATCCGAGTACTGCTTTTATAGATGTTCTGCATAGCCTGGCAAACGTAAAAACTACCTTCGGCATTACGAACAGCCAAGAACTCATTTCTGGAAGAAAGAAAATTGCAATGCGAAATTAGTAATTATAAATAATATAGCGTATATAAATAAAATAATTTATTCATAAAATATTTTACTGTGTGGAAAAGATCGAAAATAAGCTAAGCTCTCCAATGTATTAACGAAAAATTATACTGAATAAGTAATATCATGCAGGTTATTGCCTAAAACAAAATCATCGTCACAACCCCTTAGAATGTTTCTGGAGACTTGAGGCCTGCGAGAACCCCATTGGAAAAAGCAAATTCCGGAGTGATTTAAATACAAGACTGGAAGATACATTTATAAACTCAATGAAACGCACTTGTAGAAGACAATGAGTTTGTCATCTGTGCCTTTTATTAGGTTCTTGATCTTGGCAATCTCTCTGTACTGCAACTCTGGTAGAGGGCTCTGATATGGCTGAGTGCGAGTACGAACTCGCTTAGATTTGCGGTCATCATTTGGATCTCCCGTGGCAGCCTTTGCTTCCACCAAAGGCTGTGGACAAATAATTCACATTCCAATTACAACCACTTAGTAGCACAAAACTTGGATTCATACAGGGTAATATTCCAAGTATTTTTTTAACCAAATCAATA